ATGCCTTTTCGAACACATAACATACAGAAGCCAGAGGCCCTAGTTGCAAAACAACAATTTTTTGCATAGCTTAAGTATACTCGTAGCAAGTAACTTAGACAAATGACCAATCAACACAAAAATAACCCAGACATGAGAGTAAAACCGGAATCTAAGGCAAAAATGATATATACCCAATTTGGATCAAAAATAATATTGCTAGTTATCAACGGTAAAATAGGTCTTGACACATTATAATCCATCAACAAGACTGAATTTTGTTTTTTCTCAAGCTTTTGTTTTTTATTATGATGAGTATGACATGACAACTTTTTGACTGGTTTCTCTTAGGACATGTTAATAAGGTTAGAAACTTCATTTTCATTTTTACGCTTCTCAATAGATGGTTGCATTGTTTTTGAATTTTAGGCTACTAATAGGTAGAAATATATAGCGAATATAACGACGTATAACGAAGTATAAAAAAAATGTCAAATAAATTATAAGTGTCTATGTTGAAAGGCACCTCTTTTATTAGAAAATACAATTATAACTAAAGGTATAGTTCTCCAATGTGTGTTAATTTATAAATTTGCCAAATATTTTTTTATCACAGCATTGTATGTTGTAAAACATAACTTGACGATTTAACACTTTGCAATTACAGAGTGCACTTTCTAAAAAATAGTAATTCGTCAAAACAATGGTTAGCACATTGCTTTATTTAACATTATAATAGACATGGTAATTTTCTAATAAACAATTGCATGTTTACCAAATTCAGCACCACAATTATTGAACACGGCAATTCAATCAACAATCGCATGTTTTCTATATTTGAAATTATTATACATTGTTCGATAACCTGTTAAGAGGCGCATTTAGCTACTTTAATATTCATCATATGTAGTGCTGTGTGACAAACAAATTTAAAATAAGCGTAATAGATAGTACACATTTGATTGAGATCATAGATAGGTTTGACTACAAAAAGAATAAGCATATATATAGATTTAATTAATAGCATATTATTTGAGAGTTATAATCTTCAACTTTGAATAAGCTATATTGCTGTGAATCGAATCGAGGATTCGGAAGTACTGCTTCTGGTATCAGTTAATTTGAATAATGATAAGCAATATAGTAATATACTGATATCTGCAAACACATATGCTTTATTTTAATACAAGTACATATGACACAAGTTCGATTATGATTTCAACAAGTTGTAAAAAAATTTATATTAAATATTAGCGTAAGTTACAGTAACAAGTCGCACAAAATTAGATATAAGGTTTTGTAACACTCCCCTGCAGAATTATTTCTCATAGTCTCAACAGTCAAGCAATATTACGAATATATAAAATCCTTTATTATAATATGCGATCTCACGATAAGAAAAGACACGAATGGGACTTAAAAAGGCTATAAGTGTAATGAGTATAACGCTCTTTATCAGTGGTTTTATCCAAATTTATATGTTACAGTGACTTCGAATCTTTGCCATCTCTGAGATCTAGCCTACTCTAAAACAATCGGCAAATCTAGGGGGCCATATTTTAACTAAAAAAATAGCAAAATAGATTCAGCATTTGGAACTTATGACCGAGTAGACTTGCTTTACATGGTGGAATCTATATTGCGTTACTCTACCGCAATTACTAATCATGTACCTTTCCTTCTGACAGGTTCTCTAAATCTAGTGAATGGGCAGTATAAAAATAAGCATATTTCCACCTGTAAGATAAGTTAGCAATAACGTTATTTTTTGCTTATATTTTTTTTACTTGACTTGCCTATATTTTTTTTAAGTAATTTATGTTATTTTATTTTACTTCAGCTATAAACTGAATTTTTCTTACTATGATTTTTTTCTATTTAGATACAAAAAATGAGCAGTAATAAAAAAACTGCCACCACCAAGGCTAATGATACCAACACCCCCAAGACTAATGACACCACCATCACGAGTAATAACACCACCACTCTCAAGACTAATAATGCTACTACCACGAGTAATAACACCACCACCTCCTCTATGACTAATAATAGTAACACCCCCAAGACCAATGATAGCAATGCCTCTACAACTAATGATTCTAATGCCTCTAGAGTTGTTATCCCAGTAGGTTATATACCTAGGTTGTATAGTCCCAGATCTTGTAAGTAAAGTTTACATTGTGTAAATATAATCACCAGAGACTTAGTTTTCTTTTCTATTCAAAATAGATCATATCTCCGATAAGCCAATTTTGCATTATTACGGATATAGAGATAAGGTTGACTATTCTCTTGATAGTTATATGTGGTATTCAACTGGTGATGCCGATTGTAGTAATCAGGATGATTATGATCCTTAATATATAATCAGAAAAAATTTATTATTTATTTTTTATTTGTATGTTATATTGTTGTTCGGCAACAATTTTTTATGAAATAAAGAGGGGGTCCTATAGGCTCGCCATTTTTTATTTTAATATGGTTGTGTGAATGGGTAGAAAAATTAGTTGAGATTTAAATGTATATAAATAGAGGTATAGCCATGATGTGTTATGAAACAAAAATTTATGAACGTACTTTTATTTCCATGATCGAAATCGTAATATAACGGCAAAATGTGATTTATTTTTTGGCTAGAACTGGCTAAAAATTTGTACGAATTGATTATAAGTTTTTTCCTATTCTTTCATAAGATCATCAAGCCATGCAGTACTTAAACTACCCTTTACTATACTGCGATATAATAACTCTTCACCTCTCCTGATCTGTTAAAAATTCACGATATTTTCTAGGGTCTTCTTTACTTTCTATTCTACTGCGATAAAAGTGTATGTCTCTTTCCAAATCTCTACAAAAACATCCCATAGTTCACCTATTTTTCTCAGCTTCTGTAATAACTGAAAATTTCTCGGGATCCATTTTATGCTTAATGGCATATTGGTGTAAGCCTGCCTCTGGCTAATAAAGGAGGGTTTGTTTGGTACATTTACTTGAATTTCTGATGTGCTCTGTATAGCAATTATAACTTTCTTTTGATCGATATGAAAAGAATAATTAAGAAAATAGTAATTATTTTTACTGAGACAGCTCCAATCGCCCCATATGCCTAAACGTATATATACCTCTTTGCATATAGGGCATTTAGCTTCTGAATCTGTATATTTAAATACATTTTGATACCATGCATTCGATTTAATATATCTCAAGAAAGGAAATCATTTTTGCACTGCTTCAATAATTACATCTTTCTCTTCTAGAAAGTTAGAAATTTTAATAATGCAATCTTGTGATATATAATTATTGGCATCCTTTTTGGTCGTGCTAACTTCATTGATTTGTAAGGATTCAAAAGTTTCAGACTTTATCCAAGGATTGAGTCCAGTCTCTTCTATATATGCTTTATATAATCTAGAATGAATTTTATCTGTCTGAGAACTTGGTAAATCAACTAAATTAGCATGCCATTTACAATAGTTATCAGTTAATATCTTGCTAGAGGTTGTATAAGAAGACATGTTATCATTTTATATTAATGCAAGTCAATTCAAAATCACATAGCTGTCAAGAGCGAAGCACGAAGTAAAAAATATCACTATCTACTTATCCAAGTTTATATAATTTATTTACTTATACTGTGATCTCAATTTCATGCCCCCCACATTGAATAAAATAGGATTCAGCTTCATATCTACCTCTTATACTCTTCTCATCCTTATGACTCGACTTGCATGCTGGACATA